CAAGAAAATGCAGAGAAGGTCTAAAAAAGAGATCAAGAATCTGTAATACTGAAGGATAACAGTGTCAGAAATGACGAGGAACATAAAAAAACATCTTGAATTAGTCAAATGGGCAGGCAGAGGAAATCAGTAGAAAAAAGATAATCCTCATTAAGAAACCATTATTCTAATATAGTGTGGAAAACAAAATGAAATTTACGGGAGGGATAATATTCAACCAGAAAGAGAAGCGAGTAAAAAGCAACCTAAAAACAACCAAAGAAAATTAGGTAAAAAGAGCTTTATGTCAGATAAGTAATCATCACTCTTCCAAAATCCAAAATAACTACCGAAATTAAAAGCTTCCTAAAGTGGAAGAACAAAGAGAAAATCCTTCATTTTTTCCTCTTTCTGTTCAGTTGAGGGAAAACTTGAAAGGAAAGGAAAAAGAGAACCAAAAAACAGTAACATTCAACAAGGAAGGCACTGTGTGTCCACCATTAACAATAGGAAAACGCAAGAGCCGAGGCCAAAAAGCAAAAAAGTTAAAGGCTTTCACATTGTCATGAAACTGTAATGAGCAGTGAACACTCACGCAGCACAACCCATGAAAAAATGAGTTTTTTAGCACTCACTTTCGGTGAAGGGTGGCCAATCTTCCCATTGAAGGCCATCTGAGAGCTCCGGCGACGGTTCCAGTCGGCTGACGGCAACAGGGGCGGCGAGGTGGGTTTGAGAAACCTTTCAAAGATGGCCATGACTAAGAACATAGAAATGAGAATGGCAGTGGCAACAAAGCCAAAAGAAACAGCATTTACTGAACTGTCGAAGCTGCTGCTCCAATGCTGATCATATTCATCTCTCTGCATGTTCAGTGGTGCCCCTATTGGTGGCCATCCACTGCTGATGCTATTGTGCTCTCTCACCATTCTTCCTTTGCTTTTCTTAACTCTGTTTTACCATTCTGGACAAGTTGGCTTCTGTTCACGTTTGAATTTCAGGCATCAGTGTGACTGTAAAGTTGAAGAAGAAGACGAGAAAGTAAAGAGAGACGAAGAAGTGGTGCAGTGCAGGCAGGGAAGAATATGGTGACTACTACAGGTTAAGGTTTGGCTTTATAGTAGCTCTCAACTCAGCACAGTTCTTAATTTGAGCATTCAAGAGAGAGAAAGGAGCAAACATGTGGGGTGGCTGCCCCTTGCAAAAAAGGAGAAACTTTGGAATTTGGATTTAGGACCCTGTCTTTTGTTTTTCTGTCTGGATAAAATCGTAATATAAATATTTTTACCCTTTCAGATTCGTTTTAGCTTTTTCACTTGTTTTTTTCACTTTTCATACACTGTTGTGAGCCTGTAAGTTCAATTCTTACAGAATTTTTAAAATTAATTAATTAATTTTTAAAATTAAACAATTTTGATTTATCCCTAAAATATTATTCCAGTCTAAACAAGAAACATTAACATATTTATCCATAAAAAAAAAATCCTCTTATGGCGATGATAAGAATGTTTAATGATTTGACAAAGTGTGTTTGATTTGGTAGTCAGTTTTTTATATTTCCTTTTTGTACCCACAGACTTATTTTTTGCTTCTAATAAGGTTCAGTCAAAAACCAATTAGTAAATTATCTTCTATTGTTTCAATTCTTTGAATAACATTATTTAAATTCTATATTTTTTTTTTCATTTTAGTTTTGCATTCGTTTTACCCATTTTGCTTTTTCTTCTTCTGAAAAATAAGGTCATCCATGAAAAAAAAAATATTGCATAATGCTCGTTGAGAATCCCAGTGAGTCTAATTTCCAGGATAGAAATAACAAAATATAACATTATATAAAGGTGAAAAATATAATAATTTATTTTATTAAGGTTTTGGATAAAAAGTGATGTTAATTTCTTATCTGATCGAACTCATATCTCATTGGTGTTTGTGTCTCTCCAGTAAATTTTTTCTTTAATAGATCTAATAGTAGTATGAGAGCTGATGATTTGTTTTAGTGACCAGTTCAAACGAGTATAGTGATTTTTATTCTTTCCGCAAGTTTAAAAAAATGGTTGCAATTAGTCAAACTGTTTTTTGATAAAAAAGTTTATATGTAAAAATTAACTTTTTGTATAATGTTTTCAAGAAAAAAAATATATTACTCCTTTTTTTTTTTAAATTCAAGATTTCTGAAGTAATATCTAAACTCAAATATTTCCGGTGAACCTTGTTTTTAATAGACCGCCTAATTTAAAACGCACAGCGATATTGGATTTAGTATAGTTTTTATGCTTGTTTGTTTAGCGTTTTTGCATTTGAGTATGGATTGAATTTACTATTTGGTGTTTTTATAGCTAAAATGACCGCAACTTATGGTGAATGGGTTTCAAAGGAGTAAAATTAGGAGGTAAATAATCCAATATTAAAGCGTATGCATGTGTGGTATATCTATTTGAGTAGGATCATATAAAAAATTACAGTAGCATCTATCGTCTTTCAGTGTTTCGTATCTTAATTTCTTATTTATTTTTAATATTAAAAAAATAATTAAAACAGTTTTATCTTATATAATATACATTATCTATTATAAATTTAAAATATTTTATGTATTGAATAGTATTTATGAATTACACTTTTTAATATATTTTACTTCTTAGAACTGCATACAAATTATAATCACATAAAATATAAATACTTACGGTGAGTATTTCGTTTTAAGTGGATATTAAATTAAAATACAAATTGCATACATAGAGTACATTTATACAATTTTTTTCAAAAGTAAGAAAAGTAGAAGATAAAGAAATTTGTAATAAACTCAAATTATTTTATATTTAAGTTAATTGACAAAATTTGGGTTATATAATTTACAAACAATTTATTTTTTTATTTTTCATTTATATAAAAAAAATTCTCTAAACCTTTTGTAATATAACCAAAGAAGTTAATAGTCACGTAATAATAAGTTGACGAGTTGTCATTTATTATGTTTAGTTAGAAAAGGGACAGGATGACCTCAGCAGCAAATTTTAGAAGATTTTTCTTTCGCGTGTGTTGGAACAATCAGTAACAAAAAAACATAACAAACTCATCTTGTTAGGACAAGTTCTCTTTAAATTCTCCATGAAAAAATATCTGAAATAAATAATTTTTATATAAATATCCATAAATAACGAATAGCGTATTTTTTTATTGTAAGTTCAATTCGAAATTATCCTAATCACAACATATGCTAACTTCTAATAGTGTAAATAAATCATTTTAAATAATTAATACAAACAGTACGTTGTTAAGACAAGTCAGCCAGCATCATTAAATTCAATTACTATATTTAAATATTATTTATTTTGAAGTATAAAGTTTCATCATGTTTTTTAAGAATATGTTTTTGAAAATTTGGAAGAGAAAAAAATATATCTCGACATGTAAATCTATTAAGTAAGTGTACATGAATACTTATCCGTGTAGAGGAGAAATATGAATAAGAGAGTAAATAATATTTTTGTTTTAGAAAATACTTTTTAAATATAAATAATATCCTTTATCGAAAAATATTTTGTTTAATTGAGCATTCAAGCCAAAGTAAAAGATGAGAGGATATCATGATAACTGAAAAGATCAGTGTAGGTGTACGTGCACAATTAAGCCTTCAGGTAGAGCTACAGCATGCAAATGTACACACATAGGAATAGGGTTTAGTCTAACAAATGAACAAAACAAAATCAAAAGCACATGCAACACAATACTAATATATGCATTCTGTCTCCCTCAACATATGCTACATGCCACCCATTGCATTAACAACCACAATATCACTCACATATTTTTTTAAGATATTTTCAAAAATTGACCTTACTCTACAGATAAAAATAAATAATATTTATTATAGGATAAATTCATAGCCTTTATTTTTCGTGTGATACTCGAGAATCTGAACTATCATGTATGTCGACCTTTCAGGCCCAAACCCAACATGTGGCCCTCTGATTGTCACCAGGATCAACGGCTCAGATGGCTTCACAACCAAATCCTGTTGGTGAAAGCAGAGATTGCTGTACCAAAAAAAGAAAAGGAGTGTACCGTGATGCGAACCCTCACGCGTGCACGGTGCAGCTGACACGTGCGAATGTGTTTGCGTAACGCACAGTGTGTGGTCAGAGAGAATCAGAAGGGTCAGGGTCAAGGAAGAGAGCGTGGGTGGCTCATGCAATGGTCACGTGAATGATGCACCCTTTCTCTTCTTTTCATGCTGGTCAAAGCTTTTGAGTGCTCTCGTTGACCACTTGCAAAAGGAGAGCAAAATCCTTTCGTTTTAATTGAGATTGGGCTTTCTATAAGTTTGGGCCTGGCCTGGCCTCTAAATGGACTTCAGGAGTAGTTTAGTTATTCACAAACATGATTCACATTTATGAAGTTAATTAATTGAAAAATATCTTCAACCCTAATTTTATAATGAAAATAATTAAATTTGTAGGAAGCGTGTATAATTTGAACAAGCCTAGGGAATGATAATCAGTTCTTAGGAACACCTTTTTATTGCTAATTTGGGCGAAACAAAACAGTCATTGTTCCCAAAACTTTCCGCAGAGCATATACATAGTGCATGAATTCAGGTTTCTTGAATTTTAAAATATTAACTTTATTTTATACAAGTTATCAATAATCATGCTCTGTTAGGAAAGACCATTGCTTCAAAATTCACCTGGCGCAGTTCAAAAGGGAACTTCAGCAGATCCAACTCGTGGAGTGGAGTGAATATTTATTATAAATGATAACTAGCTTTCCCTTTTTGCTTTTATCAAGTCACTACCTCCTTCGAATAAAATTAATACATGCAGATTTTTTTTATTTTTTTTATGAAACTAACATATCAGTATACTTAATCTAAAACACTGTTCTTCGATGCACAGTGAATCAGCCAGAATGTTATGCAATGATTAGAACATATATTCTACATATATATAGTTATGAATGAAACATAAATAATTCTACAGGTATATATATATATATATATATTTTTTTTTTTTTTTTTCTTTTGAAGTCTGAATAATCAAGAGAGTTGCACAACACAGCAATGGCCACAGAGCTCTTTCTGGCCCTCCAATTCCATGGGTTCAAAGCTCCTCCAAGCATGGGTGTGAGCTGAAGTGTCAAAGATGTGCACAAGAGACATGGTTCTTGGTACTTCGCCACCTGTTCTGTAACCTGTCAAAAAGAACAAACAACTTCCGATGGGTGCCATAGTTAGGTACAATCTTTGATCATTAGAAGGGAAATTGTCGTAGTTGTCCTGTAATGTGCAGAGGTTTCTCTTGTGTGATCCATCAACCTCATTCCATAGTTTTCCATCATAGGCTTCAATGTGTCCCTTCCATGAATTCAAACAATCCCCTGAACTGAAAAGGGTACCATTCACTGCGACAATCTGATTAGGTGGCACATCCAATTGCCACATCCCCGCTATCAGCTCCCACCTCCCTGCTTCCGTGTCAAACACCTCAGCAGAACTTCTTTCCACTATGCTAGGCATTGTCTTGTCCGAGTCCTCCCTCTCGGCAAAACCTCCCACTATGTAAACCTTCCCCTGCCACGTCACGCCAATGCACTTGTTCCTTAAAATATGCAAATTTGGCAGAGGGCTCCACGTGTCACCATCCGGGTCGTACACCTCGGCCGATGAGATCCCCCGTGCACATCCCACCGTGGACTTCCCCCCTGCCACGTAGATTTTGTTGTCACAAACCGTGCACGCAAAATCATATCTTGCCACTCCCAGTGGTGCACAAATGAACCATTGGTTGGTTTTGATGTTGTAACGGAGAACATTTGGCACTACTTTGATGCCCTCGTCAACGTAGTCAGCATAGTCATCGGATACATGAACCATTTCTTTGTGACAGATTTGGCCACCGATTATGTAGATAGAGTCCCCCAAGGAGACTATGGCGAACCCCTTTAATATTTGGTCGTCAATTAGGCCAGGAATAGGGCCGACACATGTCCATGTGTTCATCGAGGGGTAATAGAGCTCGATTGAATTAGGGAGGCTCACACCAGGGGTTGGTTCTCTAGGGCAAAACACAGCAACCACGACATGATTGGAGAGAAGATTTTCTGGGGATGGTAGAGCTGTTGGTCTTGGTGGGGAAGGGAGTGAACCCATTGGAGTTTTTGGGGAGATTGTGTTGTTACTGATGATATTTTCCAAAGTTTTTGTGTGTAGATGGCAAGTGGAAAATGTAATAATATAAAGGTGAGGCAGAGATATAGTGGAAGGTGGCGGAGAAAACGAAAGAGTTGGCTTGTGATCATCGACTGGGAAGAACACGTGGTGCTGAAATCAATGAATTTTCTTGTGATAACAGATGAAACATTTGGTGGTTATTGTACATCGTCATGTCTTTTCTGTTTAGCGAATGGGACAAGGATTGCTATTTTCCGGACTTTCCAAGGTTTCTTGGTTTTAAAAATGGTTTGAACAAAAAAAAATTGTTAAATTAATCTCTTTCTGGCGTGGATTTTTAGGTTAGAACTTCTTTGGATGGGATGTGTTCTGTATTTTGGAAGCAGCAGCACGGCAATAAGAGTTGAGGAACGAGAGAAAGAGACACGGAGAAATGTAGCTAAACAGTGCTGTGTGATTTCAATTACAAGCAACTGTGTTTATTTTATCTAACTCCCACATCAATTTAGTTTTTCCAACAGTGCTGCTGCTGGGTCTCTCTTACGATAAATGTGAATTGAAATGATGATAGCCATGATTAGATGAAATGTTTAGGCATAAGATAATTTTATGGTTTAGTTGTACTATAATTTAGGAATGACTAATAGCGTAAGAGTAGAGTCGCTTTTGAAGTCTAAAGTTGCCATTTATTGAGGGAAAAAAAGTAATGTTGTACTGAAATAATTGCGTCTTGGTTCAATCAAAAGGGAGAAAGAGGGGGTAGAGAAATAAAAAAGAAATAACAGTACATAGTAGTGGGCAACGTGACAAACACAAAGAGACAAGAGAGAGAGGTAAATCCAAGGGGAACACGCTGGGAAAGCATCTAAAAAGATTGTAGCTTGAAGGCAAATCCAAATGAGATACTAGTGTATCACTGCATGATACATGAAATGTGGGATCAGTGACACTTTTTTCTCACTAAGCAAACACTAGTTCGGCTATAGGCCTAGGTGTGCTAATCAAAAAAATCTTGCTTTGGTTTTTTCTATGATATACTTGTGCTTGGTTTAATACTGCTGCGTGCTTTTGAAATCTCGCTGCTTTATCTGCTTTTCACCTTTGAAGATTTGGTGTGACATTATTTAGATTTTTTTAATGTCAACACAGCCAAGAAAAAGTCATGGCATGTGATTAGTAAACTAATAAACAAAACAAAAACAGAGCATGCATGCAACTTCGAGAGTGAAAAACAGATTGCCCCTTGACATTTATATCCGAGCAATGTGCACGACAAAGTTGATTTCTTTTTTACTTTTTTGCTACTCAAAGCATAACATGTTGTGTGATTCACATTTATCGGTTCTGTTAATTTGGGCATTCATGGTGGCTGGCTTAATAATGGGTTCCTCTTCTGCTCCACTTCCAAGCCCATGGCCCATTATTGATCCGTATCAATCGGTGATTGTAAGTAACTATATGCAGCTGCAGTCTGAAATAAGTATTTGACCAAAAGAGGTAACAAGGAAAGCAACAATACCTGCATTGTATGGTTGATATCATACGGTGGAAACCCCTCGTTTGCTCAATTTTTGGGAACTTGCTCCCAGTACGCACGATGACGACTGATTGCTTGTTCTGAACAGAACACAGTCGAGAATCGAGAATCGTTCAAAGCAACAAGGGTGACAAAGACATAGTGACAGAAAAAAAAACACTTTATTTCCCATTTAAAGATTGCAAAACCAATAGTCATGAACATAACCATAACATTTTGGAAGGGCACGCATAAGAAAATAAACCGATTGTTTTGTGGGTTTGATTTTTAGCTTGAAGGGTATTGAGTGGGCACATGATCACCAAGAGGCAAATGGGAAATCAAATCACACCTAACGTAGAAGTCCAGCTAAGATTGATAGGGATGGGAAGGTTAATGAATAGGAAGGGTTGTGACAGTTGCGAGTGTTTCCCTATTTTATGAACGTAAGTAATTGGTCCTGCCTGTGGATTCAATGTGAACATTTACACATCTCTCTTTGCAGCCTGTGATGTTAGACAAAAGAGTACAAAAAGGTGGGGACACACATGTGCAGGAGCATGGCATGGCAAATGGTTAATTAATTAAATTGAATAGATAGCATAACATGTGTATTTTACAGCATGACCTAAGTAGAATGAAACTGAAAAAATGAGGGTATGATTTGTGAGTAAATTAAGATGTAGGTGAATATGTGTAATAAAGAAGATGAGAATGGATAAGGAGTTTGCATAGGGTTGGAATGGAAGAGATGGTGGTGAGTTGGGTAGAATGACAAGTCATCAAAAGGGGGGGGCAGTAGGCAGTGAGAAGAAGCAGGGACAGGAGGATAAGAGCTGCAGAATGAGACAAGAGAGAATTTAATCAGGATATGTGGTGTGGTTCATATAAAGCAAAAGTCAAAAAAGACTTTAGAGAAGAAGACAAAAAGTGAGAGAATCAGATTGGTGGCAGAAGGTAAACAGAGAAAGCCACATGGTTTGTGGTTTGGCTTGTGCGGGAGACAAAGCAGTTAGGAGCAAAAAGGCAACTTTGATTTGATTGATCACCATGGACCTTCTTTGCACACTTGATAATTTTACTCTTTCTTGCCATGTCCCTTTCTTTTCTATTTCTTGGTCCGTTATTTCTCTACTTCGCAACTATAGAAGAAGAAACCCCTCAGTCCAGTGGAACCTGCTTTGACTGCTGTTGTTACGGAAAATCGACAAATGATCCAGGGATGTGCAAAAATAAAATCAATGTTACAAATGCAAATAAAAGTAAAGATCATAAAACAATACCTTACCCACCATTACATCACAACCTAGATGTGCCATTAAGCTAACTTCCATTATTTGGCTGGACCTCACTGCTAGGGACAGTAATGCAATTTATTGTACCTTTTGGAGCAGAAATTTTAATTTTCTTACACTCTAATTCATTGTGATTTTTGTTCTTACTTTTTAGTGGTATAATTTTATAACTCTTACAATCTTATAACTATTTCAAATACGAATATTTCTGTAAAAGTTGGTTAATAAATGTTCAATCTCAACTGATCCAGAATTTGAAAGTTGATGATGGAAACACAATGAGAATGAGAATGTGAGAATGGAAGAGGATGGATGGTGGTTTGGTTAAGAAAGAATGGGAGGAGAGAGAGAGAGAGAGAGAAAGAGAAAGAGAGAGCATTGAATAAATTATAGAAGTAAAATTCGTTAAAGTGTGGCAGTGGCAACAACATTCTGAATTGTGATAGAGAAATGAGCTTGTTAGACTTTGAGGCTCTCTGCCCACTGCAAGTTGCAACCCCACCATTGTGCAAGATGGAATTTTCGCATCCCAACGCCACACCCTAACCTAAACAACTATACATAACTGCACACCTTCTTTGGAACACCAAAAACATTTACCCTCTTTCCATTTCCGTGTTTCCTCTTCTCCAACCCCATCACTCTATCGCCCTCTTACCCTTTTTCACCAATTCCCCCTCAGCCCCTACAGTACACGATAAACACATACATACACACACACCACAAATACATTGCTGCTCTTCTCAGAAGCTTTTGAAAAGACCGTGATAGCCCCCCTCTCTCTCCACTCTCTCCCATTTTTATTCTAGACATCCACCCATCTTCTTGTCTCGGACCAACTGAACTGAATTGCCTAAAGCTTGTATCTTGAGGAGATGGGTTTGTTGGAGCGCTTCGAATGGGTGAATGCTTATAGCAAGAAGCGTTGCAGGAGCTTGTTTTGGAGGCTGCGGGCTGCGCTCAAGAAGGCTCTCAAGAATGGGGGCAAGCAGCGCCTCAAGTTCCAATATGATCCTTCCAGTTATGCGCTCAACTTTGATGATGGCTTTTGCGCTGCCAAGAAATTCATTGGAGATGCACGACTCATGGAGCTCACCGACATCAACAACAACACCACCACCCTGGTTTATGTGCTTTGGGTCAAAACCAACTGAACCCGGCCCATCTTCTTCATTTTTCTCCTCTTCATTTTCTTTCTGTCTCATATTTATGGTTCTCTTCTTTTAATGTTCATGGTTTCTTTCGTAGATAAGAGGACAGTATTGTAGGATTAAATTTTGAAGGAACTTCTTCTCTTCCCTTTGTTTGGTGTACTTTATATTCTTGACCTCTGTCGTTAGCTACAATACTCGTTCGTCTAAATTATTCACCAATGTTTTGATCTTCTAGAACACGACCCGTTGGCACCAAATAAAAAAAAACTACAACACGATAGTAAACAGTATCTGTCGGCTGAATCATTTTTAATTCAATCATTAAATTTAAAACTAAATATTCAATTACACCTACTTAAGTATCACTTTTTAGTTCTTCCAGTTTCTCAATTCAAGTTTCTGGTGGTGCTGAGATCGAAAAGGTGGTGCAGCCGCAGTGCGAGCTGCGGAAATGGAATTTATGGTGTTTTAACAAGGAGCACAACGGTAGCGGCAATTATGATGGTCTAGGTGATCGTGGTGACAATGAAGTCGGCGTTTGTTACTATGTAGGGGTTATAGCAGAGGCAAATAGTGAGCATTAATAATTAATGTCACAATTACTGCATTACATTTAGGTAATCTTTTGCATTACAATTACTACATTAAAAATTAGTTTGAAATTGAATTAAAAATCATATAAATCAATTTTAATCACACATTTTACTTTTAATATCTATATCTACATTAAAAAATTTACCACCGCACCAGCAAGTCCTGAATCTGAATAAATAGCATACTATTCTGAAACCACTTTAAGTTGCTATGGGGAGAAAACAGTCACGCGTTTTCACCTTTTGGCAGAGAATTGTTTTCCTCATTAATGAAACAGAGCAGCAATGTGAATATTGCTGTAACGGTTTGCGTTAACCGAGAATAATATGATAGGCTCAGAGTAGGGCTAACTTGTATACCATCATCAAACTTATAATGCAACAACAAAACCTTCACAATCTGTCCTTTAAGAAAAGAATTGTTGACTGTATTGACAATCTTTTTGTACAGGAGTATAAAATCACCGGAAGAACTATCTATGAGGAAATGGATATCGAATTCAACAAATATCTTTCGATTAAAGTACATACACAATTTTTAATGCCAATGGCCGCAATATCTTCATCTAGACCCTAAATCTCCAATTTGAAATTGAAATGTTACAAGTATTCAAACAGCAGAATCTTCTAATATGGCGGTGGATAAATCATTTATACGTGGATATGCAGCTTTCTCATCCAGTTGGTTTTGGGCCCATTGCAGCATCTTCAGCAAGCTCGGAAGTTTTGGGTCTGCCATAAAAAAATCGATCAATGTAACCAAATTACAGGGCATAGCATTATTTGAGAAATTCAGATAACGAAAGAGTAAAGTTGAAGCATCTTAATAGAAAACTGGAACATGATAGCAATATAAATAAATGCAGAAGAGAGCCAGCTAGCAAACACTATAGCCGGGGGGAAATCATTGTCATCGCGCACTATATTATCCATATGTTAAGCATGAACGAAACGGTTTTTATAATTTTCAATTAATTTGATATTTTGAAATGTTAAAAAAATAAATGACAGCAATAATAATCACAATAAGAAAATATCCTCCCGCCTTCACATTCAGTGAATTCCAATCACAATTTAAATGCAGAAGTTGAACTCCATAATAATTATCTGTAAATTATAGCTTTCCAGGAAGTGC